GCCCCGGCCCCGCCCCCGGCCCCGCCCCGCGGGCGTCCTGCGGCCCCGGCCATGAGCTCCCGGGCCGCCCCGCGGCTGCTGACGCTCCGGCGACACCTGGGCCCCCCGGAGGTCGGAGGTTTGGGGACAGGCACGGGCCCGCAGAGTTCCTGTCCCCGGCCTGCCTGGGGCGCTGAGCTCCCGGGGCCCATGAACCAGCGCTGAGCAGGGGAGAGCCGGGTTCCGCGAGAACACCTGGGCACCCTGCCCCAGCACCAAGCGGCTGGAGCTGAGGGGCTGGGCGACGGGGACAGTCGGCGTCCCCAGTGCGGGGGGAGCAGTGGGCGAGCGGGAGAGAAGGAGGGGACACAGGTCAGCTGTTCAGGAGCTTGTGGCCTCATCGTGCTGACTCGGCAGTTCCAGCAGCCGGGGACCCAGCCTGCCCCTGGGCGGTTGGGACGAGAGGACTCTGCCCTGTTTACCCGCATCGCAGCTGGTGTGGACGTCAGGCTGGGCTGGGTGGGCACAGCCCCAGGAGCTCACCCCGCCCGTCTGTGTGGCCCAGGGCCGTGTCATGGAGGCAGCCGGCAGCTCGCTGACCACACACGTCCTGGACACCGCCACGGGGCTCCCGGCCCAGGGCCTCTGCCTGCGTTTGCACCGACTCGAGGACCACGGCCAGCAGTGGACCGAGCTCGGGACGAGGTAGGAGGGAGGGCCTGGGGCAGGGTGGGAACCTTCCAGAGTCCCATCCTGAGACTGATCCCAGACAGCCAAGGATCGAGGCTCTGAGGGCTAAAGGGCGGGCTGACCGCTGCCCGCTGTCCCCTCAGCCTCAGGGGCCCGCGGCCTGGGTTCGCACGTCCCGGCACCCCCCTGCTGACTCTGAACCCGATTCCTCACGTGAACACACAGGGATGGTGAGGGCAGCCGTTCCACCAAGCGTGGGCAGTCCTGGCACAGCGGGAGGTGTCGCAGGCTTCCTCCAGCCGCACACCCCCCAGCCTGCTTGGGGTGGGAGCAGGTTTCTACCTCTCCTTGACGGCCATGCCTAGGGCTAGGTGAGTTAAGGCCTGCGGTGGAAGCCAGTTAGCAGGTAACCTTGTGCCAGGCACGTGCTGAGCACTTTGCTGTATTCTCCACACACCTGTGGGCAGGCCCTGCAGTCATCCCTTTCATGGATGGGAAGACAGGCAGCAAGAGACAAGGTCACAGCTGGGATTCCCAGCCAGACCCGGCAAGCACTGTGCTCTTCACCCTCGCCCGATGTGGGCACTTGCCCTCTGCCCCAGGCGCAGGCTGTGCAGCGGGAAGGGTGTCGCCCAGGCCAGGGCATTGTGGCCCTTGGATGGGCCCTGTGGGGGTTCCCAGACCCTCCATCTTGAAGGGGGCCGCACCATCTGGGGGTCTCCTCCAGCCAGGGGGTGTGGCTGTGGCTCCGTCAGCCCTTCACAAAAGCAGAGGAGCCAGGTGTCCGGGTCCCATCTGAGCAGCCAGGAAGTGCTGTGTTGGGCAGGAGTCTGCGGAGGGTCATGTAGACCCAACCCCAGCCCCACATGCTGTGCTTTCTCATCGCAGCTGGTCAGGACAACGGGAGGTCTTTCTGGGGTGACTGTGAGGAACCCTGACGAGGGATCGCTCCCTCCGTGCAGGCGGAAACGGGCCACCCTGTGGGTGCGGGTTTGGAACAGTTATTGAGCCAGAGAACCACACACAATGCACTAAATGAAAAACACAAGTTACAGAACAGTTGAATAGTATAATCCATTTTATGATTTGTTTTAAAGTTTGTAAATAAATATGCATAGAAGAAAATCTAGAAAAATATATGCCAGCCATAAAGTGGTTCTTGCTCATGGGGTAGACGGAGATTTTTCCCCTTTTGCCTCTCTGTGTTGTGATTTCCTAAAAAGACAGTGCAGCGGGGCCCAGGGCTGCTCCAGAACCGCAGGCCTCGAACACGGTCCCACGGTGCCCCTGCTCGCCCGAGTCTGAGTGGGGCTGTGGGAGGTGTCTGGGGCGCTGGGGTCAGGGTGGCTCCTCACCCCCATCTCTGCGGCCCCATCCTCGTCCCAGCTGCACAGACCTGGATGGCCGCTGCCCCGGGCTCCTGACCCGAGCCCAGATGAAGGCCGGCACCTACAAGCTCTCCTTCGACACAGAGGCCTACTGGAGGAAGAGGGGACAGGAGAGCTTCTACCCGTATGTGGAGGTGAGGCCATGGGCAGGGCAGAGACTCACTGTGACCCACGGGCCAGGTCCTGCTGGCCAGGCCTCCTCCAGGCAGTGGGCAGACTGGTCCTGCCCCTCCCACCTCTCCCGGGGCGGTGGCAGGTAGGTGAGCTCCAGAAGAAAGGTGTCCAGGCATCATCGTAGTTTACGAGGACACACCAGTCCCTGGGCTGCCCCTGGGTCAGGCTTTGTGGGGAGGCCAGGCCAGGCTGAGGGTGACTCATCCCCGCTTTGTAGACAGACGTCATCAGAGCCCAGACTCCAGCTCACTGGGCCTCACCTGCCTCCCCCTTCACCTGGAGCTGCCGTCAAAGCATCGGACCTACCTGGGTTGTGGATATGCTGGCAGCCCAGGGGCTCTGGCCTCCCTGGGGCTGTCCCTCCAGTGGGGAGGATTCACCCCCACCCTCAGCCCTCAGGAAGTTTCCAGTTCTCCACTGGGGGACTTCTGCTCCTCCCTGGACTGCAGCCCCACAGCCTGGGCTGCGAATTTTCCCTAGGAGGGCTCAGGCCTGACAGCTCATGTACCTCAGGCCCCTTACCCCTCAGGTGCTTCTCTCTGTCTCTAAGGTTGTTTTCACCATCACAAATGAGACCCAGAAGTTGCACGTGCCTCTGCTGCTGAGCCCATGGTCCTACACCACCTACCGAGGGAGCTAGAGCCTGGCCTGGCGCGAGGAAAGCCATCTGCTCCTCCCTCTCAGCGGCTGAGCTGCCCGTCGGCCCTCACCAGAGCGGGCTCTGTGCTCACTGTGGAGCAGCAGCATCACCCACTTCCTGGGGAAGGTTCTGGGCCCCCGGCACTTCCCTGTGGGCAGCTGTACTCGGGTGTCAATAAAGTCCACACCGGCACCTGCAAAGCTGCTCTGTTCACGGGTCGAGAGGGATGCGCGGTTGGGCAGAATGTGAGTGAGGGGCTCTCGAGAAGGTGCTGTTGGCTGTGGTGGACGCCCGCGGGGAGGTGCCGCGGATGCTCCTCCAGACACAGCAAGAGGACAGCAAGGAAACATGAAAAGCCTTCATTTGCTGACGATAAAATCTAAAAAACATAAACCTGCTGTCCTTGCTGTGGGAAAGGGGGTCTCATTCGGAGAGTGGTCCCAGGCTGGCTCTGCAGCCTCAGCCCCGGCAGGGTGGCTACGTCGGGGTGCCCACGAGGCCCGCAGGGCCCTGGCCCAGCGTCTGCCCGATCACAGCTGTCTCCAAGGGCTTGAAGCCCACGTTGTCCAGGGGGACCCCGAAGGCCAGAAGCTTCGCCTCGTACGTGCGCAGCAGGTCGTTGTGGGCCTGTGGGGACGGGGTGGCATCAGGGAGGAAAGGTGCACCGGAGCCGGGCCCTGTGGCGGCACGTGCGTTCAGCCTCGCGGAGGGGCAGGCAGGACGGGGTCGGTGGGCAGCGGGGCGTGGAGGACGCCAGCGTCTGTCACCTGCTTGCCGTGCAGACCCCGTGCCAAGCACCTCTGCGAGTGTTGGCTCAGGCAGGCCACCACGGGGAGATGCTGTCCCTATTCCTCTTTCACAAGTGGGGAGCCTGAGGCGGGGTAGGGACTCGGAGCAAAACTGTGCTCTGGGCAGGCTCTGGCTCCCGGCCGGGCGTTTCTCATTCAGGCTCATCACGCCCTCCCTGCCCTGCTGGGCACAGCACCAACTACTGTGCATCTGCACCCGGGGTCGGGAGCTGCCTAGGGAGGGGCGCAGGTCACCCCATCCGTCCCAGGAGGGATGTGGCCTGGGCAGCAGCGCTGTGCCCCAGAGGACAGTGACACCTGCCCTGTAGAGCGAGGCATAAAGTGGAGACACGTGGGGTCCTCGAGGTGGCAACTCAGCCCGAGGGAGGGTGGGGCACGTCCGTACCTTGCAGACCCGGGCCAGCTCGTACTGCAGGTCCTTGATGGTGCTGTTCTTCGACTCCAGAACGTCCTGGGGAGAGAGCGGACGGAGTGGGTGGTGCTCGGGGGGCTCTAAGGGGTCCTCGTGGACCACGTGCACATCCACACACGGGCGAGTCAGCAGGAAAAGGTCTCCAAGGGTCCAGAGAAGACAGTGAAGGAGAAAGGGAGAAACAGGAGGACGCCCCTGCAGTACCTGCATCTCCATAAAGAAACCACCGAGACCCGTGAGAAGTGAAGATGGGTGAGAGCAGGCAGTGCGCTAACCACGCCGTGGAGACTGGTAGCTACGCACATGCACAATTATTTAAATTTCTTGAACTAGGCAAGTGTATTTTTTTAAGAGACAGGGTCTTACACTGTGGCCCAGGCGGGAGTGCAGTGGTGAAATCACAGCTCACTGCAGCTTTTAACTCCTGGCCTCAAATGATCCTCCTGCCTCAGCCTCCCAAAGTGCGAGGACTACAGACCACCACACCCAGCCCCATATCTTCTTTTAGCAGAAAACAATTCTGTATCTTTTAAGACTTCAGCAGTGTCGGCCCCACCCAGATGTGGGCACGGGTCTGGCCACAGGGCGAGGCTTCTGAGGCTCCCGTCTGAGGGGCACTGCTGGGCCTGGCCTGGCACTAGAGCCATCTCTGCTGGCAACCGACCACAGTGCAGAGAAGCCTCCCAAAGCCCCACCCGCCCAGCCTGGGAACAGTCCCTGCAGAGGCCTCTGCCCCTCGTCCACAACCACGACCCACACTGAGGGCCAGTGGCACCCTGGCGGCTCGGCCCCACTGCAGCGACCATCGTGGCCACCGTCGTTTTATCTCCTCACAGTGGTCGCTTGGCAGCACCGGGGCCTGGTCTGCTCTGAGCCAGCTCGCCCTCCCCAGGAGAGGTGGGAACATCCCTCCTCCACTGTCCAGCAGCGACCTCAGCCCCTCGGCTGCCTGTGCTCACGGGCACTGGCCCTGCCCTGGACAGGGCCCAGCGTTGACCAGACAAGGATGAGCCTCCATCCCAGACGAGGCCCCTCCCAGGCGGCTTCACTACTTCAGGCCCCAGGAGCCGGCCTATCCCAGGCAACCCAGGGTCCCACGGGCGTTGCTGCCCACTGGGCCAGGACCTGCTGCTGCTGCTGCTGCTCCCCCATGAGTGCCCCTATGAGTGGACACCCAGTGCCCTTGGCCAGAAGCGGGGGCATGTCGTCATCTCAGCCCCTCCCATCCCCTCCTCAATCAGCGACAAATCCTGTTGACTCGGCCTCCTGAGGGCTCTTGAACCCTCTGTTCTTTCCCACCCTGCACCAGCCCCCACCTGCCCCTCCGGCCCTGCATCCCCATCTGTGGCAGAACGATCGCGCTCTCTCTGATCCAGTCCTCCCTGCCCAGAACCTGCCACAGTTCCCAGCTGGCCCTAAACTCACGGGCACGGCTCACTGGCCTTTCAGCTTCAGCCCTTCACCCCCAACACCTGGGGACCCACAGGACGGCTCAGCAAGGGCTCATTGCTCAGGCCTCAGACAGGTGGACATGTGGGCAGGTGGGAGGGCAGAGGAGAGAGCCCAGTGGGAGCATTTTAGAGATGAGGCAACTGGCTCGACAGCACTCAATCCACGGGGCCTCGAGTCGGGGACGGGAGACGGTGTTTGTGCTCTGCTGAACTGTGTGCCGACCAATCACCTTAGAAATCCTGCCTGAGCTACTTCTCAGGATAAAAAATAACTTCTGGAGACAGTTGTAGAAGCCTCAAGCCAATAGCCCAGATGTCTGCTGCCCTGCAGGATGAGTCTGGCACAAGCAGCAGAGACAGGTGTCCTGTGGCCCCAGAAGGCTCCATGTCTGGGACGAGCCGACCTCGCTGCACTGGCCTGCTGGTCGAGGCTTCAAGAGCAGCTGTCCCAACACAGGGTAGCAGCTGGGCCCAGGGCGTGTGCCGTCCGTGTCCGATGGCGCCACAGGCTGACAGCTACCAGTCACCCCAGCTGGCTGGGATTCCAGTGTCAGCCAAAGACCCCCCAGTCCTGCATCATCTGTTCCTCCTCTGACTCCCCCCAGCCAGGTCCAGGGAGCGGAGGCACAGGGCCAGCTCCAGAAGCTGGACACCCAGAAGAGGCCACCGGCGAGGTTCTGTCAGAGGCTCCAGGCTCCTGACGCTCTCGCTGACCGCGTGCCCGTCTCCGCAGCTGGCCCGTGCGAGCCGAGGCCTCACCTGCTCTGTTTGCTGCTGTCCCCGACTCCAGGACTCCCCAACAGAGCACCAACATAAGCGATGGTGGAAGAAGACGGAATGTTCCGGGCTCTGCTCAGACCTCGCACCCCCAGCACCCACAAACGCTCGGTCAGGGCCCTCAGGCGCGCCCGGCCCTGCACTGTCCCTATCGTAACCGTCTGTCCTAAACCAGCACATCTCAGGGGCCTCCCAGTGCCGTCTCTGTCCCAGGACAGGGGCAGTGCCCCAGGCTGGGAGCTCAGGAGACGCGGCCGACCCCCAGCCCCAGGTCTGGGTCAGTCGTCAAACAGCTGAGCTCAGGCCCACAGAGGTTCCAAGAGCAGCTTTTCCACTCGCAAGCCCCTCCTCACGCTGCGCTTGGATGACTCGCGCCTGATGTGCTCAGATGAGCCAGGCTGGGGAACGGGAGGCGCAGAGGCTGAGGGGTCGCGAGGTGCCACGCGGTTACGGAGGAGCCAGGGAAGACCCAGGAGAGATACTGAAGAGAGGAAACGGCCCGTGCAGACAAGTGAGGGGCACCCCGACTCTGCGCCCCCCGTGGTTAGCCAAGGGGTCTGTGTGCCAGTCCGAGGAGAAACGTGCGGAGCTGACGGGTCCCGCCACAGGCTGGGGCCACCTCCTGGGGGCAGGAGCCCGACCGGGCCTACCTCGAGCTTGCGGGACACCAGCGTCAGGGCTGAGGGGTCCAGGTTGGAAGCCGCCAGCACCTCATTGAACTGCACCTCCTTCTTCTCCACGGCCGCGCTGAGCGCCTGCAGCTTGCGCTCCAGCACCAGGTTCTTGAAGCCCGTCTTCTGCTGCACCTCCTGGATGGCCGACGCGAACTTCCGGTAGAGCTCGTCCCGTTCCTGCTGCACCTGCAGGGGGCGCTGGGGTGGGTGGTGAGGCCCCCCCACCTGGGATGTCTGCCCTGCCTGGAACATGCTGCTTCTATGGAAGGGCCACCTGCCACGAGTGCCCACGCCCACGCGGGTCCACACGTCCACACTGCCTGCTCCCCTGCCCTCTGTGCAGACGTCCACACAGGGAGGGGGCAGGAGGGAAACACCGGCGTGAGCCCTCCTCCTGGGAAGGTGCTTCGGGAAGCCACAGGTGTCCTGGTGAGAGCTGCTCCACGGCTGGGTTGGGGCCAGCCTTGCCCCGGGTCAGGGCTGCGGACTCAGCCTGTGCCTGGCTGCCCCACGTGAGATGCAGGGCACTGTGCGGCCAGCAGGCAGCGTCTGCAGGGGGGGGCCCTGGGAGGGTCCACTGCCTCAGCCAGCCCAGGCCCTGGAATCCCGCGAGCCGCCAGCGTGCCTGCCCCACAGATGGCAGGTCTAGAGCGTGGCCCTGGAGCCGACTGCCTGCCGGCTGGTAAAACCTACTCTGTCGCCGCTAACTCTTCTACTTGCTAACTGTGCGCTGTAAAAATCTAGACTTTACTGAAGGGTAAAAAGTGGACACCCCCTTAACCCTAATTCCCAGAAGTCACCACTGTGAGTGAACACTGGTGTGACTCCTTCCAGAATGTTCTCTACACGTGAAAATATTTATTACTGTTTGGAAGAGACTAAGATCATGCTAAAACACTGCGGCTTTTTTCACAGCACGTCCTATGATACGGTGTATCCCAGAGCACCTTCCAAAGCATCACATACATGTACCCTTTCTAACTTGTACAGAACTCCGTGGATTTGCTCAAGTCCAATTCCCTGTTCGTAGACACAAGGATTGTAAGTGCCTTTGGTCTCTGTATTTTGCTGGGAAATTCGAGCTCTCAGATCTCTAAGAAGCTGACACCGACTCTGGCACATATCAGGAACCACATTCAAAGGAAGGAAAAAGTGGCGAAGAACACAGGCCCTCACCGGGCACATCTCTGCTCTCCCCGTCCCACTGGCGCCCACCTCAAAGCCAACAGGAGGGACAGGAGGGTCCCCGTCTAACACCACAGGACTCGGGGTCTCCCTGGCTGCCCTGCTGGCCCTTCCCCCGGTCGTCTGTGCAGGGACACAGCTGACAGCTGGCAGAGCCCAGCGATCCACGCCTGCAGGGTTCTAAGGGCCCGAAAGTGAGTCCAGATCTGATACGCCGATAGGTACTGCTGAGGAGCCTGCTCTGGGGGAGACGGGGCCAATCCCACTGCTGCGGTCTGTGTTCATGAACTGCAACTAGGTGAGAAAAGAAAAGCAGCACCTACAGCTGCAGCTCACGGGCGAGATGCTGCGGCCAGCACACCACAGACAAAGCCCCACGCGCCCCGTGCGCAGCCGTCAGCCCTTGGCCACATCTTTGAAAATGCAGAGAGGCAGGGAGGGTGTCTTCGAGGACAGAGACAGGACCAAGCAACTCTACCACTCACTAGGAATTTCGGAAAGGCACCTTAAGTGAGATGTTTTCCAGCTGGTCACACCAGCAAAGGTTCGAAGTTGTCGGATCGGCGCAGGCAAGGAAGGAGTCGAGTGGTCCTTTGGACACGGGCGGGAGCGTAACTCACAACACCCTCTGGGCAGACTCTCAGAACCCTGAGCACAGACCCCTCGGACCCACAATCCACTGCTAGGAACTGACTTCCAAAAAAGAGATCTCACACAGCTGCATGAAGATGAGTTTAAAAGGCTGACTAAGCAGCAATGCTTGTAACAGCAAAGGGCTGGACACAACGTGATCAGCAAGGAGAACCAGCTAAGCCAGTGACCGATCCTTCACACAGCGGAGTGGCCACGTGGCTGCTGAAAAGAGTGAGCCCACTTCTACGTGCAGCCCGATACACTGTGAGATTAAAAAGCAGGTTGTGCCTAAGGCAGGATCCCATTTCTGCAGAGCACAAAGCCACATCCACTCTGGAGCGTGCAGGAAGAAATCTGGAAGGAGGCTCGCGAAACTGTCACCCCTGTGAGAACCAGCGCTGGGCGGCAGGGAGATGCTCCCTTTTATAATACTTACACGCTCGAGGCTTCCGTGACTCGTTCACCATGGGAGTGTAATATGTGCATGCTCAGAAACGCACACATAAATGAAAGGGGCTAGGCCTCCTCCCCATGTTTTCAGAGGTGAGTTTCTCAGGAGACAAAAGGGTGTGTGATCTGCTGCCACCAGCAAGCTCGCCATAGAACGGGCCACAGGTGTTTGCCTCACAAATGCGACGTGGAATGAGGAGCAGGAAATAGGAACTCCAGCTTCTCAATACAAAGCCTGGCCGAGGTATCCACACCTGCTAGTGCTGGTTACGGGGCCCCAGCCGCAAGGAGAGCCCCCTCCCCGGCGGCGGGGTCCCGCCTGCTCACCCTGAGGAACCGCTGCTCCAGCACCTCGTGCTCCCACTGCAGGTCTTTGAGCTCCTTCTCGGTGACTTTCAACCGTGCTTTTGTGCACTGGGGAGAGCGTGGGGAGGGGGGTAGAAAGCACTCAGGACTCACGGCATCCCGGGCACAAAGGCTCCTGGGGGCAGCAAGGCCAGAAATAATCGCCCAGAAGACTTGGCTCGCGGACACAGCAGCTGGGCCCCACCAAGGCAGGTCCGTGGGACTCAGCGGAAGGTCAGGGCCCCGTCTGCAACACACCCGCCAACTGCACGTTCCCCAGGAGGACAGCAGTCAAAGACAGAGATTTCAGACTCTCCCTGCCTGCCCTGAGGGCTGAGCCCTGCCCAGGGCCTCACGTGCCGACGTTCCCGCTGTCCTGAGCCCAGTGAGCACGCGCCAGGGAGGGAGGCGGGTCCACAGGAAACTCACGACCAGCGTCTGCTTGTCCCTCTCGTAGTTCCCGAGCTGCTTCTGCATCTCACTCATCTCGTCCCGAGCCTTCTGGAGAGGGTCCGCCAGGCGCTTGTTCTGCATGGACACCTCTGCCATCTCCCGCTCCAGGCGGTCTTCCTTCCTCCGCATGTCCTCCATCTGCTCCTGCAGGCACAGGCACAGGAGGGGCTTGGTGGGCAGAACCAAGGGGGCCGCAGGCTGCGAGGCGAGGGCTGGGTGCACTCCTGCCCGCAGACAAGTCCTGCCAGCCGCACGCACACACATGGAGGACCTAGGCCTGTTCTACGCACTGAACTTTCTGGGGATGCGGCTTCCATGCACTGAGAAACGACACTTAGTTCAGGATTCTACCAAGGGCTGCCCCACTGTGGAAAACCCTCTTACTGCCACCATCTTGCAGTGAGAGCCGTGCAGTCCAGCTGCCCTGCGGCCACATCACGGCCCTTCCTGCAATTCTACCTGCACTGTATTCACACGTCACAACGAGCTTCACTACTTCCCCCTCAGCACTACAGGTAGGGAGATACCGTGATCGTTTTCAGTTACAGGTGTAGACAGGTTACATTATGCACACGTTTCAACGCAGGACAACAGAGCGACACTGTCAGGTGGGGGTGCTGGGTGTGACAGGGATGAGAACTGGCGTCCAGATCCCCTGGGCTCTGCGACCCCACGTCGTGGGACAGGCAGCGCGTGTCTCCCCAGCCCGCCCCGCGTGCGGCACCTTGAGGGAGTTGATGAGGGCCAGGTTGTTGAGGGTGATGTCGTTGTAGTAGTTCTTGATGTCGGTGAAGGCCTCCTCGTGCCGCCGCATCAGCATGTTGATCTGGCCGTTCTTCCTCTCCTCCACCTCGTGGATCTCGGTCTTCCTCCGCAGGTCGAGCTCGTCCCTGAGCATCTTCATCTTCTTGTCATACTTGGCCTCGATTTCTAAAAGGCAGCAGCAAACACAGCAGCTTAGCAGAGGAGGAACAGGTGCCCCTGTGGCCACAACAGACAGGACCTGTAAGCAGGGCCCAAGAACACACGTCAGGTCAGAACAAAGGTTGTGCAAACGAGCTCTACCAGAGAACAGGACAGGTGTAGGTGGAGTTCTCTCTGTGCCCAGACGACATGTCCAGCACACACAGCCTGCCTCCGCTAGTGACAGGCACCGCTGATCAGTCCCTGCACGGGGCTCCCAACAGCTGAAGGTCAGCGACACACCAGCCCCGGGCTGTGTGGCCACCCAGTCACAGACTCCAGGGCTTTAGCAGTGAGCCAGACCGACTTCTGCAAGTGGAGCCTTCTCAGGCCAGGAGACAGGGAGAAGACTATTCTAGGAATGCTGCCCCCGAATAACTGCCACCTGCTGTTAACTACTGATTTTAGCCAGGAGTGGGAAAGTGTGTGGCAATCACAGCCTCCCCAGCTCACACGGAATAAGTCATTCTGGGATTCTGAGTGGGTCCACTGGCATTGGAGACTCCCACATTCTTTCTCCTTGATGCTTGGGCTGCTTTAATCTAGTGTCTGTGCCCTGAATTAACAAGCTCTGGAGGTGAATCACGTTCTGGTGGGAGGGGGTCTCCAGCGCCTCCTCCTTGATGTGCATGTGAACAACTCACCTCGCACTTGCCTCTCAAAGTCGTTCCGCATCTTGGTGATCTCCTCGCCGTGCTTCTGTGAAGGCGAAAGCAGGCAGCTGTTACTGGACAGCCGGACATGGAGAAGCCCACTTCCCGGGGCTGACGCTGTTCCTCACTGCTATGAAAACCCAGCCCAACGAAGCCTGAGTTGCTACCGCCAGTGCTGGGTTCCCCTCACCTCCAAGTTTACGGGTCATGCTTAGAATCACATGGTTCTGGAAACCTCTACATTCCCTAACCCACGTCCCTCAGCAAAAGTCCCCTCTGAGCTTGAGAGACCATCAGCAGACACTGTGAGCACTGAACGTGGCCCAGCTGGAGAGCTGCAGCCACCTGTACACAGAGCCGTGGGCTCTCCGCGGGTGCCTTATGTAGCTCCTAACCCCTTCACTGTTGCTTAAAATTACTTTAATAAACAATTATGTGTTAAAATTTGAATAAAAATTTGAAATTATTTTGGAGCAGCACTTTTACTCAAAGGAGACCTCGGATCACGTAACAATACCATACCCAGGCCCAGGTAAGCAGCCAGCGTCCTATCACCGAATTCACCCGAAACCAGTCACTCTGTGCTTCTCAAGAGAGATCGGACAACTCTGGAGGGTCCGAGACTTCAGCACCCTCATGGTTTGCTACAGAGTCCACACTGTCACTGGGTTTTTCCAGATTCACTTGAGGCTGGGCTGCTTCCAGGCTGCTTCTGTCTGCCCAACCCAGCAGCCAGAAAGTACCTTTGAAAACTAAAGTCTGACACTTCCTTCCTCTGCCCGAGTTCTCAGAGGCCACCCTGACTCTGGCCAAAGCCCCGTCCTCACCGGGCTTTCGAGGCCAAGCTCTGACACGACTCCCCCAGCCTTCTTACTCCTTGCTCCTCCAGCCTCTCGCCCGTCCCGTCTCCTGGGCTGGTCTTCCCAGCTGGGTCACATACCTCCTTCTCACTTTTGCCCAAATGTTGCCTTCTCACTGAGGCATTCCCAGAACCCCTGTAGAAAACCGCACCCTCCACCACTCCCGGCAGCCCAACCTTTCCACACTGGGCTCTTCCTGTCCCACTCCTCCCCACCAGACATGCTGTGCATACCTGACACATTCGTTTTATCTTCTACATTACCCGTGGTCCTTTTTAGACCATCAACCCCACTCCGGCAGGCACTGTGTCAGAGATCAGATCAGGGCCTGGCACCTAGTGAGCACTCAGCAAGTCAATTTCAGTCTCTACCTGGAAACCCCCAACCAGACACTCATGGGCCCAGCTTGCATAACAGACTTCAGGGCTGCCACAGTTGCTTTGTGTCCTTCTAAATGCATCTGACACTATCTCCTAGGAAAAGTATGTGGGTGTCAGGTGTCAACGGCACATGAAGAAAGATCCTGAGATGGATTTTCCTTTGGGGAAATCAATTTGCTGCTCAGGTCAAGACAGAATTCCGCACTTGACCTCAGAATGGGGTTTGTTTGGATGCATTTTCAAAAAATATTTTAACAAATTGTAAAATACAGGAGTTTTTACTCAAAAATATGAATTCCCAGTTGCTGTTGAACAATCAGAAGTTCAGGCAGTGAGCAAGAGCGAGACCCCCATCTTTACTAAAAATAGAAAAAATTAGCCAGAAGTGGTGGTTCACACCTGAAGTCCCAGCTACTCTGGAGGCTGAGACAAGAGGCTCGCTTGAGCCCAGGAGGTGGAGGCTGCAGTGAGCTACGATGAGGCCACTGCACTCCTGCCTGGGTGAGACCGCGAGACTGTCTCAAAAAAGAAAATAAAAACAAGTTAAGGCAGCACTAGGCTCTGAGCCACAGGCGTCCTCACAGCCAGCCGACCCTGGCGCCTGCCCTCACACCTACCAGCCGCAGGTTCTTCACCACCACCTCGTTGGCCAGCTCCTGCTCCTTCAGCTCCACCTTCAGCGCCCGCGTGTCCTTGCGCAGCGCGCTCTCCTGCGCGCGGTGCTCCTTCTGTGCCAGCTTCATGACCACGGTGCCCTCGGCCTTCATCTCTGTCAGGTTGTTCTGGTGCTCATACAGCAGGTGCTTCACCTTCTGCTTGTACACCTGCAGGGTAGGGAAAGCTCACCTGCACCCACCTGCTCACACCTGCTCACCTGCACACACCTGCTCACACCTGCTCACCTGCACACACCTGCTCACACCTGCCATATACCTCACCATACACCTGCTCACACCTGCCCACCATGTATCTGCTCAGCTGCTCACACCTGCTCACCCGAGACACAGAGCAGGACATCAAGGCAGGGAGCTGAGGCACATCCCAGCTCACCTGGGATGTTAAGTGCAGAGCGAGGTTGCAAAGGGGCCCGCCTGCCCCCAGAGCCTGTGCTCCTTGCACACTGCAGAGGCTGCATTTCAAACACTCAGGACCTGCAGGGTCTCTCCTGCCACCGCAGGGATGAAGTGTCTCTCTCTTGGCATTTTATGAAAAACACCTTCAAGTTGCTAGTGTAAAGGACATGAAGGGCGTGACCCCCAAAGCAAGGAGTGAAACCGTCCTGTCCCCGCCCTGCTATGCGGTCCAGCTCCTTTGCTGCTGCTGCTGACCCAGTGGACACAGGTGGCCAGCCCCACTCACCTTGATCTCCACCTGGTGCCTCTCCTCAGCCTCCTCCATCTCCCGGTCTTTGTTCCGCAGCTCGGCCTTCTTCTCCTCCAGCTGCCTCCGAGTGATCTCCCAGAAGGTATGAATCTTGTCCCGCTCCAGCTGGAAGTAGTTGCGCTCCTCCCGCTCACGGTCCAGCTCCTCCCGGATGCGGCTGACATGTTCCTCCACCTGGCCAGGCGCGACACGTCAGGTGAGGCTCCGAGCAGGAGCCCACCCACAGCAAGGCGTATGTGGACACCGAAAGGCAAGAAAGGAAAAGAAAAAGAGCTAAAAGTAAAAAGTTAGGAAGGCTCCAAGGATATACCTGACAAATGGCAGCATTCCCTTCAATTTGGCCAATAATCATAAAAGAATTATATCCTTTCATCCATTCCTGGGAATTTATACTAAAGAAATTTCTCAAAAGAAACATAAGAGGTTTTTGCTCAGATATTAGTCACATCATTATTACAACAACAACAACAAAAAAAAAATTAAAGGAAATGATCTAAGGCCAGGTGTATAATCAAGCCTGTAATCCCAGCATTCTGGGAGGCTGAGGTGGGAGGATCACTTGAGATCAGGAGCTCGAGATCAGTCTGAGCAAGAGGGAGACCCCACCTCTACTAAAAATAGAAAAAACTAGCTGGGCATGGTGGTGCAAGCCTGTAGTCCCAGCTACTTGGGAGGCTGAGGCAGGAGGATTGCGCCCAGGAGTTGAAGGTTGCAGTGAGCTATGATCACACCACTGTACTCCAGCTGGAACAACAGAGCGAGATTCTATCTCCAAAAAAAAAAAAAGGAAATGATCTAAGACAATTTTAAATAGGGAAGTGGTTGAAAAATCAGAGTATATCAATTAGAAGAAATACTATATAGCCCAAAAAATAGATATGAAATTGATATAACAGCATGCAAACATGTTCACAAAATAACCTTAAATGAAAAAAAGTTCACCTTTATGGATACAATGTTAAACAAAAAATATACAAAACCAGTAGATTCCTATCCCTGAAGAGGATTTGGTCCAGAGCCAACTGCAAATCTGCAAATAGGTTAAAAAGAAAAAAAAAAAGTAGGACAGGCTTCTACCTTTCTTGGGATCTCATTTCCCTGAAGAATCAGTTATCTTTTGGGCACAGCCCCAGGCCACTTACTGCAGAGTCTTTTCTCTCTCAAAGCCACAGTCTCCACAGGGAAACCACATTTCTCACTTCAAGAGGGAGACGAGACACCAGTCCACCCAAGAGGAGCAGGAAGGGGCTCTGAGGAGGGACTGCTGGGCAGGGGTTTTCATCCCCATGGGGGCAGCGCAGCATCCCAGAATTTGACAAGTGCCTCAGCAAAGTGACAAATGTCTTCACGTCAGAGACCTTCAGCATCACTCGAACAGTCTGAACCAGGTTCCTACCTGCTCTGTTTGCTCACGTGGTGTTAGATTTTGCCATCACTCAATATTTAGCTTTCCTATAAATATCCAGATTTCTATCTTCTTTCGAAAAATCAG